GAGAAGTAAAGGCGAGAGCATGTTGTACATTCATGGGGTTATTCGTGAAACTCCTTCAAAGGAAACATCTGTGAATTTCTTCTTTCACCCAAGAACGCTCAGTTACTGAAGTGACTGATGTACCTGCATCGGTCAGCAGCAAATAGTTACCAAATGCAATTAATAGTCGTCCTCAGACAGATCCAGGGAGAGGAAGGCAGTGAGGAGCGTGCAGGAGCTGATTGCAGAGGATCAGAATTACTCAGATAATAGGATGGAAGTGCTACTGGGGCATGGGGTCCCAGTCCCATTTTCAGAGGAAGACCCAGCTCACACCACCACCAGCCTCATGCCTAAAAGGTCACAGCCACAGCTTCTGCCTTGAATCCCATCTGGGTACGAGACCTTGAGACTAAGTGACAAAGTAGAAAGGCAAAAATTGAAGAAAGGGCATTTTCCAGGGCATTGGACAGCAAGATAACATTCCTGACATAGGAAACCTTGGTTACTATGCTAACTTTCAAAAAGAAACCAAAAACACTGAAGGCCTGATACTGTGCCCTTCCCTCTGCTCATACTCACCCATTCTGTACCAGGTTCACCAAGGCAGTGGCAGCACCCAGCAAATCTTCTGAAAGTCCTCAGTTGCAGTCACAGTTTTGGAGGAGTTTTCCTAAAATATTCCAGGAGTCTTAAAGGGAACTGAAGACATGCGGCAAGAGAGAGCCTCAAAAGCATCCTTTTTTTTTTCGCCCATTATAATTCCTATAGCCTCAACTCCAGCTTTGCTGAACATAATCCCATCATCAAAATAATGCAACCTCCTGTTTAAAAAATGTTTTAAAACCACAGGGATGGTTAAATTGCATCTTGACTTGTTCTTTGCTGCCGGGCAGGGAGCTCACCCTCTCCTAGCTGGCAGCGAATTTGGAGGCTTGCTGCCTGCAGAGACCTTCCGGCTCCTGGGTTTGGTGGCTGGGACCCCAGGCTGCCTTCTGCTCCCTCTAGGCAGAAGGAGCAGTGCCGGTGGCCTGGTGAGGCCATGGGGTACAGAGCCACCGCACTGTGATCCCATGTCACAGGTTATGGCCAGCTCAGTCCCGGGCTGGATGGGGACAGCTGACGGAAGGATCTCTGCCTCCTCTCCAATCTGCCATTCAGATCTACTCGACAACTGGCTGAAAGCCATTATTCCCCTAACTGTTGCTTATTTTTAAGTAATACAGCTGCTCTGCACAATCCTAACCACCTTTTTGATTGTTCATTAGGGACCTGCAATACTCTTGGTTTATTCCATTTAAACCTGGATTTAACTAACAGTAGTTATGTGCCCCATCACCTCTTCATTATTAGACTGAATTGCTTCCTAAGGACCAAATCATGCAGAGTCTCGCAGTTTCTGCGAGGCACCGGGCACCCTCTCTTCTCATCCATTTCACTTACGCAGCCACTTTCAATGGAAATTGATGGCAGGCTCGCGCTGGACGAGTCCTGAGCTGCCGTTCAGATTCTGCATTCAAAATCTTCATTTGCAGCAAACAATGATGCACGTGACGCCGCTTAATGCAAGTTAATGTCTGCATGACCATCAAAGAACAAAGGCATAATAAAGGATCAATAATCGCAATGATCTAAGTAATGGTTTTGAAATATTTAACCAGAGGCAACAATTAAGGTTCTTTTAGACGTTGCAAACTCAAAGCCTACGGTCTTGCATCTGAGTCAAGTGTTTACCCTTAATGATTGTACGCGCTTCCCTAAATGATGCCTCCCCTCGCTCAAGCTCAGCTACCTACAGAGCCACCACAGAAACAAACGCTTCAAAAATCACGCGAAGTTGCAATGAACTTTTCTCCTTTGCTAGCGTCTCATCCCTTTTAAACAATGCTAAACTAAGGATTAAATTTATAAATTAACTCTTACGATAGCAAGCCATTAAATGATTCCCAAGGAAAGTTTGGATCAAGCGGACTTGCTTTTTATAAAGCAGAAAGACCTGCCAGCATTCCTCAGCTGATGGGGGCTGAAATGTTTTTTTTTTTTTATTCGGCTTTTGGTTTTATTTTTCTGAACGATATTCAGATTTTGGAAGTGAAGAAGAATATTTGCTTGCCAGTAGCCTGAATTCCACTAGAGATACAACTCTCTGTCTCTTTGAGAATGATAAAAGAAGTCAGGCAGGGTATTGTATACCATCTTGCATTAAGAAAAACTCGGAGGGTTAAGGCCATCTGTATTTAAATCCAAGGACAGATGAGACATTTAAATTTTAGTAGCACTCAGTTATATACCTGACATAGAGAAATGGCTGCAATCCTTTTTATCAGGCTGGAGAATAGGCATTAAATGACAAAATATTAGTCAGGCCATAGATCCACGAAACCTATAAGTTCTGCAGCAGCTTCATTAAATCTGGTTTTTATCAGGGGGGAGAGAAGGGTCTAGTATAACATTGCCAGTATTTGAGGCATTGGGCTTTTAGAAGATCACTACCAGATACTTCATCCATCTGTCTATTTTCATATTTATTGTTTTACCAATCACTTTATTCATCCATCTGTTCATCTGTGTAAACCCATTTTTTTAAATTTTAATTTTTATTTATAGACTGACCTTAATAAACTCTCCTCAAGTACCGTGTGTTTATCACTGTCATGGATGAAAACGTTATTAATGACAGGAGGGCTGAGCAGGGAAGATGACTGCCCTTTAAATTCCTTTTCAGCTGACTGGACCGCAGCAACTCAGCTGGGTGGAGGTGGCTGGATCGATAAGGTCGGAGTTCAGTCACTGGTCCCATCTCCTCTATCATCCCCATCACTGCCAGCTGACAATGCCTGCAGGTGGAGCGGGGGCACTTGGCTACGTTTATGAATTGCCTTGCTCCATAGCGAAGGCTTTTCTGCCCCGTAGGAAAAGCTGTGGGTCGCTCGGGATATTTATTTTGAAATGTATACAAGGGAAGACACGGATGTCAATACAAGAAAAGCAGCCCTGTGTGTTTAGAGTAAATATCGCTGGCTCCTAGCGCAGCGCTGGCACCGTGGGTTCCAGCTCTTCCAGGGAAATTCTGATTAAACAAAAATAAGGGATGCACTGGTCGTTAAATGCTTTCCACATCACACGAAGGAATGAGAGGTGAGTTAGTTTTCAGCACATAGCGCTGCACTTTCAATCCGACTACTTAAACTGCCTTACTTGCCAGGAATCCGGGGCCGATAACCACAACGTTGCATATGCCTCTATATTTGCCTGCAACAGCCAGGGCTTCGACACCTACACCTGGTTTGGGCAGCAATAGATGTATTTCTTTTCGCAGGTGCGTAACGCATAACGCAGTTCAGAAAATGATATTTATTACTACTAATCAAGTCCTTATTTAATTGCCAACAGCAATATGTGTGATTGTTACATTGAAAATAGAAGGTGGTAAGAGTATCTCGAAGTACCTCAAAATTATACACCTACAGATTAAGGGTGTTTCAAATTTATGATAGGTAATAGTCATGAGATGGCTGTAAATGCTTTGCGAGTTCACTTAGTTGACATAAGGTCTAACCTTGCCCCCAAAATACATTTTTATTCTGCTGACTTAAAGGAGGTTTGACAAATACTCTCCAGGATAACTCAACCCTCACGTTTTATCTTTGGTTGGCCTAGGTGCTGTTTGCGCCAGAGTTTTGCCGTGAAAGATGTAGCTGTGAGGCTAGGGACATTCCCCTCATGGCTTCATCTCGTCTCCTGGCTCATTAGAAGCCTTGGATTCCTGCCTGGGATTTTATTTTGACATTGGAGGTGTAAATCAAGTCATAAACATATTTAAACTAATGTTGTTGAAAATCCGTAATTCTGACAGCGAAATGAGCAACAAAAAGTGCATATAATATTTGGTGACATGTAATTTTAACTTCATCCAGTCTCTTTGCTTTTGAGACATTGTTACCTGCAGGATAAGGCGATAAAATAAGGATGTACAAGAATGTGTCAAATGTAGGGCTTCCCTAAATTACACTCCGAGGCACAGATTAATACATTTAATACATTCCAGTCATGAGTGAGGTACTTATAGCAGAACAACTGCTCCTCCAGTGATATCATTCACTGGAATGAACTACAGCTAACAGTGACAAGCTGGAAAAATGCCCCCACTTTTCAAACTGTACAAATGGCATTTGGACACAGTAACTCAAAACTGGACACTTCATTTCAAGTTTAAAGCTAGTGGTCCAGTCCAAAGCTATTACTCCATCTTCTTTATTTGTAGTCCATGCTTTTGTGCTCTTTAAGAATCAAATAAATACTGGTGTAATGGTTAGCAACTGCCAGTTCAACGAAAAATACTGCTAAATTCACCAATAAGTCTTTTTTCTACACACACAAATTTATGACATAAGAACTGAACCCATTCCTGTTACAATGTCTGGATAGTTTTTTAATGTAGAGGGAGACTCACTTTAGTGATAAGAGTTTAAACCTCAACTACTTTTTCCTTCTTTCTGGATCATACATCTAGATAGAGAAGAGCGTGAAATAAACGACCAGTGCGTGTAAGCTAAGGTGCACTGAGCTGGCCCGTTCTCAGCTCCATCAATCCGGCAGAGGCAAGTGATCTCCGTAGCTCTGCGGCCTCTTGCACCGAATACTCTTT